ACCAGGTTCACAAACTTTTTGACAACTCAAGATTGTATTTACACAGAAAGAAAAAGGTAATTCAACCGTGATCTGTAAGTTACTTATCAATAAAACATTCGCAGTGAGTTCCTCCTGTTCCCATCTATGTCTTTCAATTATCTAAGAAAATAGGAAAACAGTGCACGGTCATCATGTGAATGCGAAATGCACATCTGTCTCGCATAACTTGTTATGACATAAAAGCAATAGAGGCCATTTCTTTCAGGGCTCTTTTTCGTGATAAAGCCACGCAGGATGTTGAAAAGCTTATAAATCAGCACGGAGGAAAGTTTATAAATCACTTGCCTTCGACACGTGATATAAGCTTAAGTTAGAGAACCTGGAAAGAATGGGTTCTGAGAAATTATCAAAAAAATAGGTTAATNTACGGCTAATTTGTGTAGCTAAATACATGAGATTATGTTAAGGACCCCAAAGTTGAGTTCATGCCACATTAAGAGCGTGTCGGAGCATTTCAGCCACTCGTTGTCAACAAGTGCGTAGTTGTTTAATGCCAATTGGGAGCAACTGCGCGTACGACCAGGCGAAGTTTAAATGCGTGTTGTCCGTCTTGATGTAACACAAGCTTCAAGTTCTTTGCCTCAACCGAGGTAGGCCAGAGTTCGAATTCGACCATTCTCATCTTGTATTTGACTTTAAAATGTTTATAGAAAAAGCACGTCATTTCGTATTCAGGTATTGGAAAACGAAGTTGTGACTTGTTATTTAGTTACTTCGTGCAGTTTTTCAATTCTTTTCTTCCTTCATGTTCTTATGTGTAGTTAACCTTGAGAGTTAATGACCATGATGGCGCATGCGCTTGCAATAAGTTCAAAACAGGTGCAGTTACCATGTCCTAAACTATCCCACAGTTAATTGCGATTTTGAGACAACCTCTTTTTTTCAACTAAATCTGGAGACCAGCGCACAACATTATTTAATTTATTTAATTCATTAACCGCCTCCCGGTTAGCTCAATGGATAGAGCGCTGGACTGTTGTGCGGGAGGTCGAGGGTTCGGAGCCCCGGCCGGACCAATAATAAAGGTCTTAAAACAAGTGAGAAGAATATACTACCTTTCTATGACGGAACTGAATAACGTATACGCATGCGCCAGGTTTTGCCGAGGAAACACGGATTTTGAGTCGTTCGCATGGTTGATTTCCTATTCGGTTGCTTCGAGGCGTCGTTTTCCTTGCCGCTTTTCTTTTACAGAACAACCTCCAAAAATTTGGTACACCCCCCAAAAATTTTCAAAATTAATTTTCTCCTTTAAACCTTTGGAAATAGGAAAGTGCCTTTGACGAAAACAGAGTTCCTCGGTTTTAAAGGTCAGCCCTTATCATTTTCCGCTAATTTCGCTAAATTTTAGACCGAGGACACTTGAGCCCGCGTTGTTGACCGCATACCTGCTGACTTAGCATTCATTATTCAGCTCTGTCCTTTTCTATAACATCAAGAAATGGTTGGATACTCTGGTCTTCTCGGATAGGGACGAATAAATGGAGCTCCTGTCTCCTGCAGAATTAGGGGGGTAGAAGAGGTTAATTTCCCACGCACGAGGTTACTGTGCGATGGATGTCCTCCCCTGGGGTGGGATAGGTGGGAAGGTGAGATTAATATGGACTGAAGCGGCTGCTAGAGGCGCCTGAGAATGCTGACGTCCGATGACAACCTTAATAACATTGTAAAACCTTAACATTACCTTAACCTATTAAGGTATCGTATAAACCTTTCACCTTTCACCTAACCTAGTTCAGATGGGCGAGTGAACAGATATAAACAGTTCAGTGAATCTTGGAAAGCTTCAAACAAAGATTTTTCTAGTCTTAGTCTTACTTCGAAGAACCGACTAAGTAGTGACAAGAATGAATAGGCAATTAATTCCTTTTATCAATGACACCTTCTAGGAAGACGATCTACTCGGTTATTTTTTCTGAAACCATATTATGCCTCATTCTCTCTTGTCTGAAATTAGCCCAAGAGGTGCAGAGGATTACAAAAGATTCTCACTGGTTCTCAGAACTGACCAGTAACAAATGTACATCACTCCTTCCATTTCACTTTCTTCAACAGGGAGCGTCTTCATTGGAAACTCACATCTCAGTGAAAGATCATGGTATTTCTTTTACCACTATCTCTTTTGTTTTTAATGTTTCCCAAACTGAACACTCAGCAATGCGGCATAGACAGTTACTCTATCTATCAAAGGATGCTCAAGGGCCATACGTTTAAGACATTCAAGGCCAGACCATTGTCACTTGACTGTAAAGAGGCGTGCGTTTCTGACTACAGGTGCCAAAGCTACAACTACGATTGGTCTCGCAGTGTATGCGAATTGAACAACCGGACCAAGGAAGCAAAACCAGATCACTTTGTTAGAAGTGAAAACAGATATTACGTGCGTGAACCCAATAAAGGTACGATTCAGAATTCGTTGACACAAATAATTTAAGTAGCAGGCACTCGAACAGTAAGCGAGTAACACGCGCGAGAGAAACGCAGTGACTGACCTTCACGCACAACTGGCTCTCGTTAGCGCGTGCTGGTCTGAATCGTTCCACCCTGGTTAAATCTAGAGTACAACCAGTCTATCCTTTTCTGCAAGTCGTCGACGAATTCCGTCGCGTAAGGCACCTCACATCCAAACTTCAGCGCGGCGCGTTAATCTTTATTTGTTTTTTAACTCTTTTTTGTTTTTTTTGACTCCGCAAGACGAACTTCGCCGAAAAGGAGGGACTCCTCGTAGTTAAGTTTAAATCGAACAAATGCGACGCAAGCTATGATTAAAAGGACTTAAATCGTATAATTATCTCCGAACCCATCAAATTTCGTTGTGGACTACGTCATGGGTAACACAATCCACGTGACGTTTTCGCGCAGTCCTTGTTATATATGATCTCAAGTTAAAACCTCTTTTTTTCCTGGTTGTCCAAGACTTCCTTAATCTCTCAAAAAACACTTTTAATGCCTCGTAATTGAACCAAGATTAATGACAAGGAATAAAAATGAAATTTATTTTTACATTTAAAAGC